GAATGCTTGAATTCATAACTGTGTTGTTGGGCAGCAGCACTCTTCCTGACTTAAGTGCGGTATAAGTCCCCACTTAACATTTGCTGAGTTTGGAGGATTTATTGTACTATTTCTTTGCCTATGGGAAAAGTACAAGTACGATATTTCTGTTTTCTCACATGTCACATTCTGCTGTCTCAATGTACTTATTCATATCCACAAATTATTCAAATGAGACCTGATCCATTCCTTATTTTCAGTTTTAAAATACCACTTAGAATTGCACAATATTTCTCAAACAGGAGGTAAATTAGAGCCTGTTACTTAACAGAATATGAGAGATTAAACTGTATCAGTACCATAGTCTGAACTGTGCTGATGGCTGTCAGGACTTCTAATTCTGTATCTGCAATAAATGAGAACCTTTTGTTTCTCTTCTTTTCAGAAAGGTCTTGCATCCTTATAAAAATATTTTTTTTCCCCTAAAGTGACTTCATACACATTATTTATCCAACTGTGGAATAAACATTCATCCTCAAAAATAAATTACTAATTAGTTTGTGGCAATTGCCAGATACCAGCAGCATACATTCCAGAGTCACAGTAGCAAGAATTCTATGAAAATTATCCTACTATTGAGGTAACCATAGCACAGTTGTGTTAAAGTTATTCTGCAAAAAGATGCTGGCTAGCTGCCCACGCAACCAGCATTTGTCAAAGCTGAGAAAGTAACTGCATGAACACTTCAAATTTTTTTGTGAAAAAAAAAAAAACATAAACCAGCAAAACAAACCTACCAAAAAATGCTAAAACAAATGTAAAGCAAAAGTAAATGACAGGTTTTGAAACAGTCACATGGATTGCATTCTGAATTTTCCTCAGAGGTAAACACAAAGCTCCTTGAAATAAAAAAAAAGATCATTTATTTGAATAGTGGTTCCCCATTTCATATTTACATATTTGATTTAGAATTTAACTATAAACACCAAAAAATTAAATTTGCTAATTCAGTAGCTTTAAAAATGGTAAATTAATCTTTCTTTGCATGACTAAGAGAAAAATTAGAATAAGAATGATTCTTAAACATATTGGATATCTAAATCATTGCAGAAAATTAAACAACCTAGACCAAATTCATCCTTATAAGAGCTCAACAGAACAGAAATAAACAATGAACTAATTAACCGTCTTGAGTTTAACAGATAACTCAGTACAAATTAATATTACACTTTAAATATTAACTTCAAGTCCTTAGTCATTTACAGTTTTGGTGTATCTTTTCATAGTAATATAATTAGCATAGCTATGTAGAGTTATATAGTGAATTTAGAAGACGTTTGATTACAAAATATATTTTTAGTCCAGCTTATGTGTTGCCCAAGACACATAAGTAGCCCTTTAAAAGGGCAAGGCACTTAAAAGTTTGTACTTTAAAAAAGTTTATACTTTTTAAAAGCCTTTTGGAAGAATATTATACATGCTTCAGTATTAATCTTTATGAAGAACACACTTGGGCTCCTAACAGAAGGATAAATTCCTTATACATGATTGCTGAAGATAAACTAATCCTAACCCTCAGTCCAGTTTTAGCCTTGCAGCACACCTAATTCCAAGAACCATCCCAGGAATGCAATATGGAATTAAATTCCTCTGCTACCTGGCGTCTTGTAGAAGCAGACTCCTAACACAAGCATTCTCCTCAGTGCCACCTGGATCCCAAGAACCGGATCATGAACTGTGCACCAGAAAGGGTCACTCTCAGCTTTTGTTGAACTGTAACCCAGCATTGTTTTCTTAGCTCCATCAGTAATCTTGAATTTACCTTTTATAAGACTAACCCTTGCCTTGGCATAGCTTTGGCTGAGAAGCCACTGACATCGCAGAAACTCAGTATGGCAAGGAAATTTTAGGCATCATGCTTCAAAACTTACTTTATCATCCCTTTTCAAATTAAAACCATGTTTTACCTAATTATTCTATGATTCTAACATTGTAACATCTATATTTAGCCTTGTCTTAATAGTCCTTCCAGGTAGAGAATCTTAATGATGCAAAATAGCTGTTCTTCATTGTTATCTAAAGCTTAGTTTAATCCAACCTTTTAAACTCAGTAACCTTTATTTTACTTATTGCTGTAGGTGTCTGTCCAACTCTAAATCTAACAGAAACCTTAAATACAGCTTTGCATCATGAGGCCGTCGCAGCATGGTAGCTAACTTAGCAAGGACAGTGCTATTTCACATTGTCCAAAATGTGGAAACCTGCTGTTTTTATCAAAGAATGGTAGGATCATTGAGGTTGGAAGTGACCTCCGTGTTTCATCTAGTCCTCCTGCTCTGAGCATGGCCAACTTCAAAGTTAGGTCAAGTTGCTGAGGGCTTTGTTCAGCTGGGTGTTGAAAGGCTCCAAGGCAGGGATTGTGCAGCTTCGTGGGGTGACCCTTTGCAGTGTTTAACCACTTGTAAAAATTTTGCCCTGTATCCAGTTAGGATTTCCCTTGCTGCAGCTTGTGACAGTTGCCTCTCGGCCTTTTAGTTGTGCACCTCAGAGGCAACTCTCACAATGTCACATAGCTCCACTCAGGTAATGGAAGACAGCAGTTAGGCTCTTCCTTGGATTTCTCATCTCCAGGCTACACAAGGAGAGCTCCCTCTGCTCTTGTTGCTTATTATGTTCTAATCATTGGCTCCCTAATCATCTTAATGATCTTGCAGTGACGTCTCTGCAGCTTGACTGCCTTATAGCAGGCATCCCAATGCTGTACCCAAATGTGACCTGGGGGAAGAAAATCACTGCCATTGCCCGCTGGCTGTGCTACTGCTCATGCACCCAGAGCGCTGTTAACCTTCATGGCTGCCAGGGTGCCCTGCTTACTCATGGTCAGCTTTTTGTCTGCCAACACCTTTGCTGCAGAGCTGCTATCCAGCGACTCAGACCCCATCCTGTACCCATGCCTGGGCTTATCCGTCCCAAATGCAGGGCTTTGCATTTGTCTGCGTTGAAACCCATGAGGCTCCTGTTGGCCTGGTCCTCCAGGCTGCAGAACAGATCAGCACCGTAGATGATGAGGCCCTAACCCTAACCCTACCTGTGGCACAGGAGCCTCTCTCAACACAGCAAATCAATGTGACAGAAGGAAGTATTGGTTATTTTCTCAAACCTGATCATATTTTTCTGTTTCCAATAGTAGCTTTTCACAGCACAACATAGTACGGTAAAGAAATAACCATTAGTCACAATACAAAAATTAGCTCAATTTATTCTTTTTAACTAAACTGTTAATTTTTATTTCATTCAGAAGTCCAAACCGTAGGCAGAATGTAGCATTGGTCTTAATATCAGCCTTGGTGCAACTTCCCAACCAATCTGTGAACTTAATACACTAAAAGACTCTCTCAGGTTGTAGAAGCCAAGCCATAACCACCTTCGGCACCACTGCCTTATGTCTGCCCCATGGCCCTCAGTTTTCCTCTAAAGTAAACACAGCACAAGAGTCTATATCTGAACTACTCTCCAAAAATTAGATATATATTTCACTATGCAGTGAATCTTTGCACTTTACATTTACGCTATTCTTTATATTGTCTGAAACTGCATTTCTAATATTACCCTTTTAGTTTATCTTTGAAAAGCTCTCTTAAAATATGCTATATATAGTTGCTTTCCAAAATAAGCTTCTTACAGACATTTGCGATCTAAATCTAATTAATTAAATTGATTCTTCTTTTGTAGCAAAGGAAGACAGATAGGGTGAGAAATGCAAATACTAACACATATCGCATATCCATCAAAGGCTTTTTTTCCCAGTATGCTTTCTGGGAAATTGCATCTGCAATGCAAATGCAAAATAGTCAAAGTAGTTCTACTAAACAAATAGAACATATACAGCTTTCTTTAACTCTCATTTTTTGCTGTTTAAAACATTTCTAAATACCCCTTCCCCTTTGAGGAAAGAGACCTTTGAAACATCTCATTTTAGAGCTGCAGAATTGTTCAGATTTTAACTAATTGTGTCCTATTTCTTTAATCCTTTTTCTTTCTTGATGTCAATGGAATGCATATACTTTATGTACAATCACACTGAAACTAATACTTTCATGATGTATTTGCCATATTGAGGAATAGATCGGATATGTAAAAAAGGCATTGCAATAAAAAGGGACAGCTATTTTATACAAATCATTTTTACTGCAGAGTTTAGGATTGCAGAAGTTCTTTAGCTAAATATGTGGAACTATGACGACAGAAAAAACCTCTATATTTTAAAAATTATTTGCTCCGATAAAAATAAAGTTAAAAAATTAATAGAATTAAATTATGATGTGGTGATTGTTTATGTTGCCACTGCTCCTTACCATGGTTATTGCATGAAAGTGAGTTCTGAGACCAGTGTTGCGCTCCAAAACTTGTTATAGGCAGGAAAGAAAACGAACCTTATATGGGAAACCAAGAATTTATTCTTAGTCTAATGAAAATCTTAAGACTAATTACAAGGCAACAGACAGTTATTAAGATTAGTCTAGTCACAATAATACTACCTGCCACAGTACAAAGTATCTGATTAATACAGAATGACGTTAATAATAGCATTAAAAGTGTTGTACAAAACCTCCTAGTATCTACCTCATCAGTATTGCTAGAGAAGAAGATGAGGGTTGCAGCAAGCCATCAGCGTCCCATGCCCTTTGCCAAAAGTGTGATGTTCATGGTGGAGTTTCTTCCACTTCTTTGCTGGAAGGAGGAGTATGATGTTGACGGCTTCTTCCTCCCCACTCTGAGGACCCCCACCTGGGCTATTTTTCCAACATGCTCTTACATCTTTTGCTCTTGCTTCATTGGTCTGCACCTCCATTTTACATCCACATTTACTGCATATAGCGTGTATTACATCTGCTTGAGACTTGCTCTTTCCTCTCTTTTGGTTTTGCCCAGCTCCCAGCCTGCACTGCTTTACCAGCCACTGGTGAGCTCTTCACAGCACTGGGGTCCCCAGTGGCATCCCGAGCCCCAGCTTTGCAGCCTCTGCTCCTGCTCCTCCACCCCGCATCCTGCATCCCCGCTTGCAAGGCCTCGGCTGTCACACCACGCCGAGGCTCCTCTGCACTACGCTGTTCTTTGAGGGTCACAAATACGTCATTCTACACAGAATAACTACTTGCTACTACTATCTGTAGAAAGAAATATGGTAATACCACACAATTACACAAAGACAAGCCAAAGTGAAACTAACCAAGCAGTAGCCACCTGGTGATGAGAAAAAACGCTGGGTTTGGGTTTGCAGCTAAGCAAACCCAACCAAAGCTCCATGTAGGCAAAGACAAGTTTAGACAAAACCTGACGAGTCCTGAGCCCTTGCACAGTTCATGTGAAACCTGGGGCCTGTTCCTAGCAGGAGAAGTATTGGGCTGCTGGGCTACCGGAGATCCTTCTTTTGTATCCGTATCTTGGCCATTATTTTTTAGGGTAACACTTCCTCCCGGGGAGGCGACCTGACTGTCTGTCAGACCCCTTCTTCTCTGAGAATCTTACGCTCTTTTTCCAAACAGAACAGCCTCAGCACACAGCCGCCACTTGCCTCTTTCATGATGTTGCAACACAGTCCTACGGCACAAGACGTGGATTTGAACTTCCAGGCTCAGGAAGGAAAGGGATCTGTCTCAGTGCTCAGATCACTGCACCTGTATGCAGAAGACAGGAGAGAAGGATGCTCTTCATGGTTTAGAGGAAAAGGGTGAATCTTATTCTGTTTCTAAAAGAGTAAATATTCTGGGATAGTGAGCTGACATGCAGCAAAATTCGTCCATCATGGAGAGTGGTGGGATCGCAAACACAGCCTTGTTTTCAGTGTTTCTTAGAGGCTAATTCTAAACAGCTGTCTTTTCCAGGTGTCTATATGCATATATGCTCCATTTAAGAAGTGTAGACTTCTAACATAGGCTTTGAAGTTCTTCTTAGAGGGAGAATCCTACAATATGGACACTTCAAGATGTAACTTGTAAGTACCAAAGTCATTTTCTGGACTTGGTACTTCAAATTCTGTCCTGACTAAAGTAATGCAATAAATGTGAAACAACTAGATCAGAGCAGAGAGCTGAAGAATAGTCGGCATATGGTTATTATTAGTAGTTCTCTGAATTCCCTTTGTGCTCTGCACTGTCTTAACACTGGAATTGTTCCTGCCTCAAAGAGATTAAATTAGGCTAAGGTTCAACATGTGGATTTTAAAGATAACTGCAGAGGATGGGCCACAGAGAGCACACAGAAAACAAATAATGCCAGATAATTACTCCTATTGATAAAATCAGTGGAGACAGTGCAATGTAATACATCTAGATTTTACTAAAGGATTTGATATAATTTCTCACCAAATGATGAGTTGATTAAAAATTAGCACTATACAAAATGAATGCAGCACATGCTAAAAAGATTATGACTCAGAAAGTAATTCTAGAGAGCATTTATAATGGCGCGTTGCAGGATCAGCTCTATTCAATGTATTTATCATTTACTGGGAAACTTCACAGATAAAACATAATGGAGACCATTAATAAGGAAAAAAAGTAGCTCTATCAGGTGATTGGAATTTTGTGGTACACTGGGTTCCCTGGAATAATGGTGCAATGTAGTTCAGTGCAAACACATACCTATAAGACACAAAGATATAGATCATAGATTTGATATACGGAGCTCTGTTTTAGAGAGCAGCATGTCCAACAAGGAATTAGAGACAAGATGGATAACAGCTGTAAAGAGTTTATAGTGCTGTAGAATAGGAGAAGGCGCGTTGTAGCCCTTTCCCCAAGCACAGACTGGCCATGAGCAGCAGATCCTGTTTCCAAGGGGCCTTAGGAAATACAGAACAGGAGTCCGAGTGTCAGCCTGAAACTCAGGGAAATTAAATTCATGCACTGAAGACAGGAAATTTTTTCCCCATTGACAAACAATATTTTGCACACATGAGTTTAAATAATAGAAACTTTTAAGGGACTGGGTGAGGAACAATTTACAGCAAACAAAACTACCCTCCCTCAGAACATACTGGCTGCAGTCCTGACCTAGTGCGCCCCAGAGAGCAAAGAAAATATCAGCCACAACCCTCCTCCTTTAATCATCCCCCACTTTTCATCATATAATCCACCTGATCGGGGGTCGAGCTGTTGTCCCAAAAGAAAGAGCTTGGCTAGTGCTGTATTGGCTTAAGGTGTCACCACTCTGCTTTGGTACAGAGAAGCCAGAACCCTGTGCTCCAAGCTGAACTTAGCAACTCCACTTGGCTGCTCGCCACCCCCGGCTGCTGGACTGGCTGATGGCTGCTTCTGCCAGCTGTGCTCTGTGCCACTTGTCCCCATCAGCTGTGTTTGCTGTCTGCAAGCTGCTCCGCAGTTATCACGAGCAGGCAGAGCGGCTGCTCGGCTCTCTCAGCTGCAGGCTGCTCGGGTGTTTTGCTGCATTATTTCACATAACAGTGCCTGGGGTGCTTCAGCTCTTCAGGACGGTTCAGTGGTGCACAGGAATGCGGTAAATTCATCACCACGGAAAGGAGAGTCCCCAAATACTGTCTCTAAAGATCGCTTCAGTCACTCTGTCCTTGGGGTTTCTTTGCCAGCTTCTCCTGCTTCAGCAACGATTTACCATAAATTTGTAGGATTGCCCAGGCTTTTCCCATCCTTGTATCTTAGCTGATTTTAACAGAACTGCTGTCAGTATTACAAAATACCTATGGAATTTAGATCTGTTAAGGGCTGACATGTTGTCTGTCATAGTCAGCAGCTCCCACTGTCCTACAGGTGCCCAGAGTGGGTGCGTCCTACACAACAGCCTGCTGCTCCCAAGGAACATCCACCGGTTTCTCCAGAGCTCAGGCTTACCCAAGCAGAAAAAAAGCCCAGCAGATAATGTGTCCCTGTGCTTGTATTTAATACAACAAACAGCAAAAATATCCTTGTAAAATAATGCTTCAGATTGTGGTGGGTTTTTCCATGTGGAGTGTATCTCTGCAAGAAATAGTCCTAGTTCCTTGGTTTTCCTACAGCTTCA